ATTATCTATTTTTAATAACAGTGTTTTACAGCTTATCCTAACAAAATTAAATAAAATGCTTGAACAAAAACAAAATAATTAGCAGACTAAATTACACAACATTTTCTTAAAAACCTGCTGTTGCCCAGATTGGGCAACACTGCTACTGCCAAGCTTCCGCCTATTCGCCAGTTTCCTTTTCGCGAGTTAGCAAACGGGGGCTGCTAAGCAGTGTTAGGTGAAGAAAAGCCGGAAAATTCGAAAAAAATATTGCGTAAATGTCGGTTTTTGGTAAAAATTCAGTAGTTTCGATATTGCTCTCTCGATTGTGTGCAAAAAATTAGTGCGGGCGTTGGTGCTTAAATGAAAATAACGTAAGTGAAATCTAGGTCGAAATAATGGTGATCGTTGCCTGCCAATGGTGGGCGGCAGCAAAGACGTCGTTAGAAAAACTAGCGTATACATATCGTCGTTTAAAGTACAAAACCGCGTATCAACAAAATGCAAAACCGCGTATCAAGATAATGCAAAACCGCGTATGTGAGATTGCATAAATTATTTTATAGAGAGTAAAAACACTCATATTTCCAAATGGTTATCTTTTTTATAAAGCAATCGCATTTCTGGCTAGCATATTTCAGGACGAATGGATAAGGATTGAGCCAAGAGCTTGTGTGAGCAAATCCAATTTTTGGCAGCCAATGGCAGTAACGCGGTTTTGCAGAATGACGATACGCGGTTTTGTACTTTAAACGACGATATGTATACGTATCTACATATGAATGTAAATGAAAATAATAAAATGTAGCATCCATACCTATGGTAATGGGTCACATGAATAAAACCCAATAGCAATTGTTTTTTCATAAAATATCAGACTTTTTACTTAAATTTATTTGATGGAATCGAGTAAAATGTAGAGTCCGACCGATTAATCGATTCTTTAATGAGATATAATGCTAATTAGTTATTTGATTATGTTTTTCTTTTGTTATTATAAAAGTTTATAAAAGCATTTGTTTTTGAAATGAAATTATATTCAGAATTTAATCGGCCGATGCTTTTATAAACTTTTATAATAAAAAAAGAAAAACATAATAAAATAACAAAACAACAACACCTCATTCAAGAATCGGCCAAAAACGGCCTCGGCATCGGCCGATTAATCGGTCGGACTCTAGTAAAAGGTCTGAAATTTCAAGAAAAGCAATTGCTTAGTGTTCGTTCATACGGTCCAATGAACTATCAGGCAATGCTGACATAAATATTGCATTAAAAAAATACAATGTTATGAAATTAAAAACTTAATTCTGCTTATCAGCTATTTAGCTGAATACATATACTTACATACATACATATGTCTGTACTTAGGGTATTTCCTAAAACTGGTAAGAACTCCGAGAGACGTAAAAGTTGTGCCTTAAAACTTAAAAATTTATTTGAAAAATACTTTCGAGCTCACCAACGCTCGCGTTCCTTAATTTCGTCAAAGGACGTTTTATCATATTTGCTGTCCTATTAAATAAATTAGTAGGACTTTACTTTATTCACTTCAGTTCAGCAAATTATCGTTCAAAAATAATGTTTTCTTTATAAAAGCCATCCAATGTTTTAAATATATTTATTGCATTTGAAAAATTAAATTCAATACGCATTAAATTTTTTTTATTTGTTCAAAGTATACATAAATAATTTTTTAAAACGCTGCTTTTATAATGACTTCTTAACTACATAAGTGAAAAATATAAAAATAAAAATAAAAATAAAAAAGTTAAAAAAGCAAGCAGCAATATAAACCGTTGAAAAATTTTTAACTGAATCTCTTTGACTAAGAATTTCTAACAAACATATTCATATTAAGCAATTAAAATTTCTTAAATAATTTTGCTATTAATTAGCAATACATTAATATCTTTTGTGACGCTACAAATATAAAAAGATCAAAGTGCCTTTTAAAATGGAATTTTGTTGCTGTAGTCGCGCAGATTTCATCGAATTCCTTTTTTTAATGCGCTATTTCTGTCTGACCTCAAACTTGTGCGTTTAACTTTTTGAAATATTTTTACGGCGACTACATTTTTTACATTCAATAGAGATACAAATTGCAACGTTGACTGTTGCTTATACATTTGCACGTTATACATTTAAAAAAAAGAAAGATTAACATTTAGTGTGTGGATAATGTAAGGGAGCGACCGTAGAAACAAGCAATAATTTAAGTTGCCTATATTTTAGGGCTTTGAGTAATATGTATATGTGTATGTGCTGAAGAATATATGAATGGTTTCCATTAAACGTTCATCAAAAATTTTCCAGTAAAGACGCTATGTACGCTTAAAGCCCCTAACTACGAGAATGCAGCTTTCAAAACCACATTACAAGCCACTCAGTTGCACTTAAAGTTCCACTGCCTTTTCCAAAAAAAAGCTTATACCTTCAGCACGCGCTTCACTTCGACTGTGGGAAACGCTGCAAACTCGCAATTGGCGGCACGATGTGGGTTTCGTTGCAGATATTCTGTGAGTATTTCGGCGGCCAAGTGACTGGCGCGTGAGGAGATCTCCGCCTTGGCGGGCACTTGCTGATTGCGACGCTGCAGCGCTACAATAGATTCAATGCCTGTGGAGTCGGGTTTAGGGCCGGCTTGCAGCAGCGACAGCGCCCATGCGTGTTTCATGCGCGTCAATTCGCTTTCTAACTCTGTGATGCGCTTATCTTTCGGTTGCGGCACATGAATAGGTTCGAATTTCTTTAACTTATCGCGTATTTGTTGCGCCTGCATTCGCAAGCGTGCGTTGCGCTCATTATGGAGCACCGTCTTCAGCAGTTGCAGCTCCTCGGCAATGAGTGGTGTGCTGCCTGAAACGCCGTGGCTGACGTAGGCGGCGCCGCTACCGCCTGTTGTAGATAATGAGGAATCGGCAAAACGCTTGGTGCCGCCGGTTGACTTCAGCTTCTCACGCAATGTGCTCTTCTCGGTCTCCAGCGCTTCGATATCGCTCTGCAGGTGATCGAGCGTGTCCTCGTACTCCTTCTCCTTCTTTTGCAGCTTCTCCAATTGGGCATGTGTCTCTTCATACTGACGCTTCCACTTTTCCACTGCGTGCTCGTATTCGCTCTGCAACACCGAGAGCTTCTTCTCGGCTAGATCTTTGCGTATTTGCATTTCTGAGAGCTCATTCTGTTTTAGTTTGGCAGCCAATTTCAGCTGCTTTATGTCCGCCTCACGGTTCTCGAGTGTCGCCGCCAGCACATTCTTTTGCTCTAGCTGCTTTTTGATCAGATGTGCGCGTGAAATGATTGGCGAGACGGGTTTCTCTTGCTTCTGATTGGCCAGGGACATAATCTCATACTCCTTGTCCAACAAATATTGTGCAAATTGTTGCAAATCGATGTTGGCCTGTGACAACAAGCCCTTGAAGTTTTGTGACGGGCCACGATCGTCCTGTTCGTACACGCGCTCACAAGCCTGCGTGAGCAGCTCCCAGAACTTCCCATGCTCGACAGTGTGCTCAGCTGTGTTGTCTGATTCAATGGAGGCGGCGATGACTTGCACAGCTTGCTTGGTGGCCAGATGCATGACGGACATGATGCGCGACAGCGACTGGGTGATTTGTCGCATAGCTTCGAGTTTAAGCGGAGATATGCCGCACTTAATGACATGTTGATCCTGTGGCAAGCGTCGCTTAATCAGCTTCACTTGCTGTTTAACTGCCTCCGTTTGCTCGTTGAGGTATTGCATGAGCAGCATTGAGTCGCTAGTTTCGCCACCTTCACGTACGATAGCGCGCGCTATTGTAACATCATTCAATATCGACTCACAGGCGGATCCGAGCGCAGCGACACAGTCGCGTATCATTTGTGTTTCGTTGACGAGGTCCTCGCCCGCGAGCAGCACAGAGTTCATGGCATTGAAGAAGGCCATGCACTTCTCGATATTCTCTGTGGCGGAATTCTCATCCAACTGATTTGACTTCAGCAATTCAATAATGCCATCGATAGTCTTCTCCTGTGCGACCATTTCGGGTAGTGAATTACCGGCGCGCAGCAGTGTGTCCGGCTGACAGCTGTTAAGCCCATAGAGTATTTGGTGAAGCGCGCATTGCAGATTGTGTATGTAGTGCATCAGGCGGCATTTGAAGGCGAACTGCTGCACTGAGTGACCCTGAAAAACTGCCTCGCGTGTTACATTATTAACAGCTGGGAAGCGTTCGCGCGTCTGGCCCACCACAATGCCACACTTGAAGACGATGCGTGAGATAAGCAGAATGACCAGTATGGAGTCGTGATCACCGCCACGACTCATAAATGACTCCGGCATGAAGGCGGTCAACATTTGCACATGCTCGTTGGCCTGTGTAAGTTCGATTTGGCGCAGCTGAACATCAATGGCGCGTGTGTAGGCCTTCGATTCGGCAAACATTTGCTTGTAGTCGATTGTTTCACTGGCAATTTTAACGCCGCTATTAGAATCTTGCAGCGATTTCGGATCATTGTTGGTTGTGCGATCGCGTAGATCCAACAACTGCTCGTTCAACTTCTGTACCAGCTCGCGGAATTTGTTGATTGTCTGATCGCGGTCATAAATCGTTTCAATAGCAGCGTCACGTTCGCGAAGAGCCTCCTTACGCGCAGCGCTCATCAAATCCAACTCCTCACGCAAGTCCATTTCCAATTCGTGATTGCTCTCCACCAGCTGTTCGTGTACTTCCTCAAGCGCCTCTAGCTGTGCTACCTCTTCTTCGAGCATTTTTACCTTGTCTTCGAGCTCCATTTTCTTTTCGGCCAATTGTTCGACCATCTCCTCAGCGCCAAGTGCAGCATCGACTTGTTCCTGCGAAAGGAGAGCAAGTATTTACTAATGTAAAATAAGTGGAACATCAATAGCTAGCTTTAGCGATTTGAAGCAAAATGAAATGGCAACTGAAAAAAAAAACCGTTTGTGTCGTCCAATCAAGAAACAAAGCGTTTGAAAGTTAAAGATTTTGCGTTTACCTCCTGAGCCCCAGTTTGGCAAGCAGTTTTGGGGAAGAAATAGAAGAAATATTTTTGTGAGTTATACGGTTTAATGTGGTTTAGACAATTCTATTGGTGCCAATGGTACGTGTCGCAAGGCGAGCGGAGCACAACGGACTACTTCTGGAAGAAGTGCACACTCGGAAGGTGTTTGTGTGAAAATAAATTGAAAGTTAAATTCTCTCAATGCCAAAAGATAAAACCGCTGGGCACTGGAATGTGTATTACTTATAAGAGTGCATTGAAAGAAAGCGTATTACGTATTAAGGAAGCAAGAGCTTAAAAGCCTTGAGTATTTAAAGTGCATAAAAGGTTAAGTATGTTTGAGTATATGACGAATTAGATCCATTTCACATAGTCAATATGTAAGATCTTGAACTTAACCTCTCATGGACACAAAAAAAATATAGAATGTATAGAGAAAATAGTATGTATTGAGAGAGCAAAATTGGTATGTGCACCTGTACGCACTAGTGAAAGTTTTAGTTATTATTTAATTTAATAATTTCAAAATGCTTTCCAATCGTAAATTGACTGTTTCAAAAATAATCTTCACTAATGCATTTTGGCCCACTTGCTCCCCATTGCCCACAACCTACCTGCAAGTCGGCGACTGTCGCTTCCAAATCATCAATTTTGCTCGATAGCTTTTCCTTCGTGCGTTCCAATTCGGCCACCTCGGATTTTTTCAATTCCAACTCTTTAGTCAGCTTCTGTATGTCATGTTTATCATGCGCAGACAAGTCGCGCAAGCGCACTAGTGTCTCCTTCAAACGCAAATTTTGTTGCTCCAGCTGTTTGAATTCGTAGGTGGACATGCCACCAACACCACCTTCGCCGGAGATCTCGCCAATTGAAGTTTCAGCTTTGTTCTGCATCTCTGAACGCAGCAGCTCCAAGTCCACTTGCAACTCCTCAATACGCTCTTTGGCCGAGTCCAACTCAAGTTGTAGCGTGTCGGCCTTCTCCTCAGCCATTTCCTTGTCTAAGGTTATGAGTTCGACATTATCAGACAATTCGGACATTTCTTGCGCGTGCCGTTCGCGCGCTTCAATAGCATCCTTCGCTTCTTGCTTAGCGCGCTGCAATTCCTTTTGTAGTGATGCTTGTGCAGCCATAATTTTACTGCGGAATTCTTGCAACTGCTCGAATTGTATTTTCATTTTATCGAATTCGCGCAGACGTTCTTTGTCTTCATTGCGTCGCTGTTTTAGAGTCTCCAATTTCTCCGTCAGATCGGTAACTTTTCCTTGCAGATCCTCGATTAATTTCTGCTGCTCAGCGGCGGCGGCCTTCTCCTCAGCGGTGGGCCCCGGCGGTGCAGCGGTAAAAGAAGGCGAGCGCATTGGCTGCAATGGCGTGAATTGCGGCCTGAGAATCTCAAGGAAACCAGTTTCGACGAAGGAAGCACGTTTCGAAGTCGAATGCGAGGCACTACCATTGCCACCGCTAGCACTACTACTGCCACCCTCAGCCGTGGGTATCGATGAACTGGATGCCGTGGCAGAGCCAGCAGTAATATGATCCCTGGCTGTAATACTGGGTGGTTGTAAACTCTTCCGGCCGCCACTGGAACTACTTGCTGTACTACCACTACGTTCTATCAGCGAAGTTGAGAGCTGCGAACGTGAACCCAGCAATGATTGGCGGCTGGAAGAGAGCGAGGTGCGAGACCCGCTCAACCGTGCTTTAGTGGGTTGGGCAATGGGCGTTCTGGCTATGCTGCTGCTACTACTTGCCGAATCGGCTATATCTTCCGAAGACTTCTTCGAATCGGGACTGCCACCAATGACACGAAGTTGTGTCGGCCGTACGAATGTACCAAAATTCTCGCCACATTCAAAATATTTTTGACCTTTGATTGTGCCATTGTTTTTACCTTTCGGTTCATCAAGCACCACGCCCACCCACTTGCCAACGGCGAAGCTGGTCATACCAACATAGGCAACGGTTCCTTGTAGATCCTTGCCGGTTATGTCGACCCGCGCGCCTACTTTTAAACTCCTCTCCGACATTTAGGCCAGTTTCTCCGACGTTGT